AAGTTTTATTTAAGAAAATAAAGTATATTAACCTAAAATTTATTTATTATGCAAAAAATAAAATAAAAAAAATATGATAAAATGCAAAAAATAAAGAAATTTTTTTTTATGATTTTAAATATTCAGAAAAAATAAATAAAGTCAGAAAATAGAAATTATGCAAGAAAATATAAAAAATATAAGAAAATGATCAGGGGGTGTAAAAGTAAAAAGAGGGGTGCAAAAAGAAACAGGCCCAAAGCGCCAGGCCCATAACACACTTCATCCATGTCCTTGCTCCTTCGTCCCAAACGCGCACTTTCTGTACTCAAATCCTGTTCTTGTTATTCTTTGCATAAAATCAAAAACTTATAACATGAAAAATGTAGCTCATGATCACACGATTTCAATGATATAAAGAACATGACCTAACTCTCAAAGATCAGAGAGAATTTTACTGGCCCTAATTTCTGACCTAGTTTTTTCAGCATGTTCAACATCCAAATACTCTTAGCTCAGTTAATATAAATGGAATCTAAGCATATGTACAACTCAAGCATGTTAGGGACTACATTTTTGCTTCACAAACCTAAGCTTAATGATGCTTAAATAGAGAGATAGAAACTTGACAAATACCTTGTTCAGTTGAGTTTGGATATGGCAATGTAGGAGTTTTGAGTGAGGCCTGAAGGTCGTGTGAGCTTGCTTGAAGTTCCCTCAAGCTATCCCAATGCTCAACTTGCTTTGAAGTTGTTTGAAACTCCTTGTAGAAGTCAACCTGCAAACTCAGAAAATAAAAATGGTGAAGTGTGAAAATGAGCTCACAGTTGCTGGACAGGGGCCTGGATAGTTCAGGTAGGAGATATGGAATGTGTTTGAAGTGATTCAAAGCAAAACGCACGAAGCAATATGGAAATGGCTTGTGATTTGCAGAGATTGCCCTGTTTTGGGCAGAAATGGGGTTTTTTGTGTTTTGGAGTGTTTGAGAGGTTGGCAATTCGTGTATTCTGCTTGTTACAATATTCTGAGGTCGTTTCAAATGATACAAAGGCTTGTTTTTATCAGATGGAAGAGTTGTGTGGACTTTTGCAAGTTTACTTGCTTTTGAAGAAAAGTTGGGAAGTGACAATGCCAAAGCCTGTACAGGCCTGCTTTCTAGCTGCACATAGTTGGTAAACTTTGCCTGATATTTGTGGACTTTATTTGCAGCAAGAGATTAGGTCCATGGCTCAAGATAAACAAAGTTGCTAAAAACATGCTTTATCAAAGTAGCATTGTTACCTTTATGACATTTTTGGATTAATTCAATGTACAAAGCCCCATAGGTCAGAATAAGACTATTGTCCAATGTGTTTGCATTTAATTTTTGAGTGCATAGGGGATTAGGACCTGTAAAACCAAGTACAAGCATGCTTAGGACAGATTTGCAACTTGCACCATTGTGAAAAATGCCATGGACAAAAGTGAGAAATTGCCATTTTCTTTTCTTCGATTCTCCCTAACCATAAATGATCTTGGAGAGTTCTTGGACATTTCGGAAAGCTTGTAACGTGCTCTACAATCCATTTTTGAAATGAATTTTGAGATTCCTCTTGGAACTAGGTGAAAAATTTCCATGAAGTTAGGTCAAAAATCTGCCTAAACTAGGGCAAAATTTCACTAAGTTAAAAAATTTATGGACCCCTATTCACAAAATAATAACTTGAGATCCATGCATCTTTTGGGAAAACTTTGTGAATCAAATTTGTATATTTTGTGGATGACTACAACTTTCATGTTGGAAGTTTCCTTTGAATCCAATTGCATCATGGTGAAAAAGTTGGGAAACGTTGGGAAAAAATTAGAAATTTTCATAACTTAGAAAATTTCTAAGTTATGAAAAATTTCAAACTTAAACCCTAATTTCCAAATTTAAGTTTCTTGGTGAACAAGTTTCATGTTTTGACACATCTTGATGAAATATGACCCTTGGCACTTGATTTTGACCAAAAAGTCAAAGTTTGACTTTTCAGTGTACAGTTGATTTTTGATCAGTTGATTGGAAAATTCATCTGTCAATCCTATACATTTGAGATATTTTGAACCTTGTGATTAGGTCAATATTGTGCCATTTAGTCCTTGAAATCATGATTGAACCCAATTTGCCATTGTCTAGGTGAAAAATCAGAAATTGCCCTTCTTCAGTCAAAACCCTAATTTTGACCATTTTACCCTTTTGATGATCTGATCAAATTTCTTGAGGAGTTGTGGTCCAAACTTGATAAAATGATTCATATGAGTCTATAATGTTGATGTGGGTAAAAAATTATGAGGTTTGACTGTAAATTGGTGACAATTGACTTTTTCCCCAATACAGTTGATTTTTAGGTCAACTGTCCAATTGACTGGGCAAAAAAATGATTCAAAGCTTGAAACTTGGTATGAGAAATCTTAGGAGTCCAATATGAAGTATGAAAGTCACATGAGGCATTGGAAGCCCAAAAATCCTTGTGCAAACCCAAACCCTAATTCCAGGTTATCAGTGCAAGGAGATGTCTTGAGCTGAGCAAACCCTAATCTGAACTTGAGTCCAAGAAGTCCTGTGAGGAGAATCTTGATAAAATAAGAGGGAAAATTTTGAGGTACAACAGCTTCCCTTGTTCAATATTCTTGAACCTGAAGAGTTACATTGGCGAGTTTTGTCGTTCGTGACTCGAAGGTAAAAGATGATTGGACACTAGAGTGCCCGTAAATTTGCACTCGTCAAATTGTAGTTGAGGGAATGGGCTTAAAGATGCCATTTGGAGATATGACAGAATCTTGTCGGAGATGGGCTTGTAGATGCCATCCAAGAATGTTTATGGTAAATCAGGAGAATGAACATCAGAATGGTATCCGTATCTCGAACGTATCTGAGTTGTATCTGGAGATTGACCTTGAATGAGCAAAGGAATAGCAGCCGTGTCTGGAGCATATCCGAGCTGTATCTGTATTTGAGTTTGAATGAATAACAGAATGACTTACGTGTCTGGAGTGTTTCTGTATTGTATCTGAATCTAAAATTTGAATAAGCGACAGAATGACATCCATGTCTGGAGCATCTCTGGGCTGGGGAAAAAGTCAGAATAAGTGACAGAATGGCAACCACTTGTGGGGCGTATATGGACTGGAATCTGAATGTTGAAGTCTGAATGAGTATCAGAATGGCTTCCGTTTATGGAGTGTATCTGAATTGTATCTTGACCTTGAATTCGGAATGAGTAATAGAATGACTTCCGTGTCTGGAGTGTATCTTTACTGTATCTGAAGTTGAAATCTGAATGAGTATCAGAATGACTTCTGTGTCTAGAGTGTATCCGTACTGTATCTGAATAGGAGATATGAATGAGTAATAAAATGACTTCTGTGTCTGGAGTGTATCTGTACTGTATCTTTGAATAAGAGATCTGAATGAGTAACATAATGACTTTCGTGTCTGGAGTGTATCCGTACTGTATCTGAAATCTTTGAATATTTGTTAAAGATAACTGTTAATCTTATCCTGAAAAGGGTAAAATGTTAGCTGAAACACAAATTTATGTTGCATGAAATGTATGATGAAATAAATGTGTTTTATCAATTGTTGTACCCAAAAATTTGCCCTCCCATATTCTTCAAGATTTGCCAAAGATCAAGGTTCAAAGGCCACTCAAGGGTTGCACAGTCCAGTGGCCTCCTAACAGTCAAAATTAGGGTTTTGGTTCTGACAAAGAAGTTGAGGTTTCCAAGGGTCCAAACAAGTCCCACATGCCTATAAACATTGTCAAGCATCCAGATGCAAGGTTTCAAGACTCACAGCACCAAGTTGCACTATCAAAAACCCTAATTGCTCCACAGTCAACTGCAGAGGCAAAATGGTCATTTGACAGTCAAAAGTCAAAAATTTTGGTCAACATCTTATTTTGAAGCCACAAACATCATTTGATCAATTCTTGATCATGATTCTCAAGGCATGGCTCAAAAAGTCTCAAGATGCAAAAGTTTTTATATTTGGACAGTTGGAAAAGTCAACTGTAACTTGACCAAGGCATAACTTCCACATGGTTTATCAGAAAAATTCCATCCAAAGCTCATTTTGAAGAGAATGACATTTCCTATAACTCCTCTTCACACTTCAAGTCCAAGAAATGCTCTCACAAAAAGTTATCAATCTCAACATTATAGGTCATTTTCAAAAGTCAACAAAAAGGCACTTTAAGTCAAAGACCATAACTTGAGATTGGTAAATCAAAATGACATGGGACCAAAGGCATTAGTTATAGGACTTCAAGACCTTTCCAAAATGTCCAAGAACATGATCAAAGCTTAAAAACGGAGCAAGATATGCCTTGTGGAAGTTGGGAAATTTTTGGGAATTTTGAAAAGTCAACTTTGCTTCAAAGGCCTCAAAATTGCTAATGGGCCTCAATTTCTTCCAAGAATCATCACCCAAAAGCTATGCACGACCCATTGACCCAAAGGAGAGTTATTTTCCTATTTTTAATTAATTAATTGAATATTTAATCTATTTAATTCATTTAATTAAAATTAATTATAAGAAAAATACTAATCCATGCTTTTCAAATCTTTTTGTGCATAGAATTCACTCAAGATTTCGTGCACTATTCAATAAGGAAAGAATCAAGGTGATTGGAAATGATTGGCATCAAAAGGACGTGAAAAAGATTGAAAAAGATACCATTGAAATCAAATCTCAAAAGCATTGAATACATGGTTGTTGGGCTTGGATTTCTGACCAAAATCATTCCATATACATACAGAAACCTAACCCTAATCACAAGAACGAAGCAAGTTGCGCTGAAACCTCAAGAACACTTTACATTTTTTCACAAAAAAACCTTGAAACTGTTTTCATAGCTACTGCACGTTTCAAAGCCTGTAAGCCCATTCCCACCATCCGCCGTGCTGCTCCACCATCCGCCGCGCTGCTCCACCAGCCGCCGTGCTGCTCCATCATTATGTCTATACTCGCCCAATCCAAAACACACATTACTAGTCACCTAATGGAAGTAGATAAATTGGAGATAATACCACACGATACCAACAATGGCAGCGGCGGCGGTATCACACCAAAGAAATCCACCCGCCTCGGCAAGAGAAAGGAGTACATGCACGACGACACTAGCCAGCTCTCTGCGCGCAAAAAGAAGGAGATGAGAATCTGTTTATCATTAACGAAGCCTTCCTATGTTCTTAGACTCTGTCCAGAACCTTTCAGATCGGAACATCGTCGGAGATTGCGGTACCTGCTGCGTAGGCTCGTTAATCAACAGGATTGGGTTGGAGCTAGCGGTGTTATTAGTGTTTACATGAAAGGGACTCTTAAGGATACTTCTATCTTGACGAATCGTTTCCAGTTTTCGTCTTTACTAGAGCTTCTTAAGCATGTGGGAAACCATTCTATCAATTTAAGAAGGGTCGGGAATCTCTACGACATTTGGTCAAAGAAGATTGGATCATTGAAGATTAGATCAATGAAGACTTGGGCAGTACAGAGTAGACATGCAGTTCTTTTGGAGAACATCTTGTTCTATCTTATGCAAGGCGATGCTGAGAAGGCATATCAGCTTGCTGTATGCATTGACCAAGAGAAAGTAGATATTGATCCTGTTTCAAAGATAATATTGGGTTTGGCATTCTATGAGCGGTGGTATTCTTCTATTCCCGAAGAATTTCAGTGGAGAGATTTAGATCAAATTGACGGCAAAGAGAACTCACATACGGAGGGAACTTCATTCAGCAATGAAGTTAGACAGTCAAAGTGGCATAATACAGTTGAGTCGCACATGGCAGACTCCCAATATCAATGCTACTCAGATTCATCTGTCATGAATAATAAGCAAATGTCTAAGGATGTTGGCCTCCATAATGATATGATTGTTTCCGTGGATGTTAAAGCTAACCATAAAAGAGAACAACTGCGTCAAATCTTTCAGCCGCAAGATTTTTACTTGGCTTCTGATGAAAATCAAGTAACAGGAGATCCTTTTTCTAATAGCGGAGGTCTTACACAATATATCTTGAGTGCTCTTGGGAGGCTTGATTTGTGGTTGCTGCCCTTGCGTTTTGAGAATGTTAATGGTTTGTTGGAATTCATGATCAACCACAAAAAGTCAAAAAAGGCCTGGATTGCAGTGGGCCTAATTGCTTCAAAAACCTCCCTTTGGGTTCAGACACCCCCATGGTTTGCATATTTTTATTTTTATTTTAATTCTCCTTTTTATTTTAATTGCTCTTTTTGTTTTATTTAATTCACAAATTTAATTTTTCATAATACAAAACCAGAAAAAAATCATAAAACAAAAAAATATGTTTTATTAATATTAATTTCTATTAATTTTGTAAATAAATTTCAATAATCAATTTAGTTTAATTTTAGGTTTAACTTTAATGTTTTCTTAAATAACTAAAAAATATAAAAAATAGGTTTTTAGCATTTCTTATTCTTTTTCTCAATAATTAAATTTTTCTTATTATTATTAACTATTAATTTATTTTGTAAATAAATATGCCATTTAAATAATTAGGGTTAAATTAGGTTACAACTTAAACATTTTTTTTAATAAATTAAAAACAATTAGAATTAGGGTTTCCTATAATAATTAATTTTCTCATTAAATTTCATAAATACAAAAACTCCAAAAATAAGTTCTTTTCTTTATTTAACTTAATTAATTTATTAATTGTAATGTAATTTCTTTAAAGGGTCCAATGCCCTCGCACCTTCGATCATAATTCCATTTCGCGCGTTTGCTTTTTATTTCCTTTTTAAATTTCATGTAATTGCCCCAAAGCTTTGTAATAGATAATTAGGACATTTATTTTCCGTATTTTATTTATTCAAATCGGGTCTTGGTTTAATTTGGCGATGTAGACCCGCGCCTTGTAATAGCGTAGGACCTTTATTTCCCGCACTTTAAATTCCGCACCTTTTAAACTGTTAATAATCACATGAAAGAATGTATGCTCAAATAAAATCAAAGCGTAGAACATCCAATGTATGACAAGACAAATAATAACTGAAAACGACACACAATTCACACACCACTCCTAGGGTACGCCTCACTGTTGCCTTGCCCCTCGAAACGTGGTCGTCGAGTAGAGGACGTTTTAGTAAGTCCTCATGTCCATGAACATGGCATGGGGGTAGCTTCTAAGGTATCCTCCTATTGCTCTGGTGACCACACTGTCCCTAATCCTCGAATTGACCCGAACACCTCCAATGGTGGTGCTACCTACCTCTCAATGGTGGGATGGCACTACCTTAAGGACATTTACACAGACCAATTCCTTAGGGTAGGTAGATGACTCATAGATACTTGCTCTAATTCAAGACAAATCAAAATTCTTTTCACACCGACACTTTCAAAAAATTTTCAAAAACTATTTTTCAAACACTCTTGAGGACTGATACAAGAGTCGATCTGAAATCTTTAAACGAAACTTTTTCAAACCCACTCACCGTGAAAAGCAAACAAACATTTTGAAAACACAATGAGAAAGTATCTAAGAGCCCATGGATAACCATGGATAGAAAGGGTGCTAACACCTTCCCTTTCTATAAATCTACCTCCCGAACCGAGAGCAATCTCAATAAGGAATTTTTCTGTGCTTTTGTCCTTTCCATATTGGAGAAAATAAAAGACGGTGGCGACTCTTGCTTCTGTGACATTTCGCGAACCAGCATTAAACAGTCAGTTCTAGATCCACCGATCACATCAATATTTATGATATATGAGTGTAATGTATGTGCATATAAGTTGATTCGTTGTTTTGCTGAGGAAAATAAATCCTTGACAGCTGGGGATAACAAAACCCTTGACTGCTGCTGGGGAGAATAAATCCTTGACCGCTGCTGGAGATTCAGAATATTTGATTGTTGAGGATGAGAAATCCTTGGTGATTTTTGGGGATTAAAATCCTTGACAACTTCTGCGGGGATGTGAGGATCCTTCATGTCTTGAAGTTGGAGTATTTGACAAAATTTTTGTTGTGAGAGTAATGCCAAGTGTTGCTTGAGAAACCTGCTTCGGGAATCCCGAGAACTTTGATGATTATGGCTGGGGAATAGGGAAAACTCTGATGGTTTCTACGGGGAACTAAGAATGAGAATCTTCATTCTGTTGAGGAGTAATGAAAACTTTGGCGACTTCACTGGGGAATGATGAAGACTGTATGGGGAATAGCTATACTGCTGGGGAGATCAGGAGTTTGGGTTGTATGCCAATCTATTGGGGAATTATCCGAAGTTGTTGTCTGGTTAGCTGTCAGGCTTCAAAGCAACTTGCTGGAAAATTATCAGGTTTTTAAGATAACTCCCAGGGGAATTTGAGGAAACTGGAGGATTTCCACTAGGGTTTAAAGGTTGAAGTTTTTTTAGCTCCGCTGGGGAAGAAAGTTTCATCTCCGTTGAGGATCTGTAGTTCAAAGTTTTGGCTCCGTTGGGGATTGGGAGTTTGAAATTTTAACTCTGATGGGAATTGATGGTTTAAAATTATAACTCCGTCGGGGATATGCATTTCAAGGTTTTAGCTCCACTGGGGATCCGGATGATGTACTGTAGGGATTGCTCCTGGAATAGCCTAAAGACGTTTTCCTATACTTTCAACCTGTCAATAATTATTCTTTTCCAAATCGTTTATTTGTAAACAATGATTATATTCAAATGCATATGCTCATTAATAAATCATTGGACGTTTTCAAATAAAACACAAGTGTAAAAAGGAAAAGACAAATAGTTTTCTGCGCTTTGAAGTATCTTTGTATTAACTTTGTGTAAGTATTTTGTACAAAGGAGACAGACATCCTAGTAAGAGAATGTTGTCATAAAAATGAGAAAATTTTATACAAAGAAAGATGGCTATGTGTAAAAATTCCATGGGGTTCCCATTCTGCTATAGCCTTCGTAACTCTGGATATCTTGTCCATTCGTTGCTTCGTCCGAAGATGATTGAGTTGATCAGAAACCCGGAGCTTGTCTGTGAAGAGATTGTCCTTAAAGTGATCCGACGAGACATAGTCATACGCTTTAATTCCCTAACTTTTGCCTGAACCACCCTTTCGGGTTTTCGATCCACCGGGAAACCCTTTTTTGCCCAAGTCGCCCTTTCGGGTTTTCAACTTGCCGGGTGTACAGATTTTTTTAATTTATCCCTAATTTTTGCCTGAACCGCCCTTTCGGGTTTTCGATTCACTGGGATGCCCCTTTTTTTGCCTAGGTGCGTCAACCTAGCGGGTCATTTATGCGTAGTATCTTTTGACTATGTCTGCGTTCGCAGGGTGCGGTAGGTCATCACCGTCCATGGTGGTTAAGATCATTGCCCCACCAGAAAAGATGTTCTTGATTACAAATGGTCCTTCGTAAGTAGGAGTCCATTTGCCCCTGGGATCACTTTGTGGCAAGATGATGCGCTTGATCACAAGATCTCCAACTTGATATACTTGTTGTCTGACTTTCTTGTTGAAAGCCTTGATCATCCGCTTTTGATACGTCTGACCATGGAAAACAGCAGTAAGTCTCTTTTCATCAATCAAGTTAAGTTGATCAATCCGGGTCTGAATCCAATCCTCTTCACTCAAATCAGCATCTTTCATGATTCTTAAGGAGGGAATCTGAACCTCGATAGGAAAAACATCCTCCATGCCATAAACCAAGGAGTAGGGTGTTGCCCCAGTTGATGTACGCGCCGTGGTACGGTACCCGTGAAGATAAAACAGTAACATCTCATGCCATTCCTTGTAGGTGACTGTCATCTTTTGTATGATCTTCTTGATATTTTTGTTCGCATCTTCGACAGCACCGTTCATCTTTGGGCGATAGGGAGATGAATTGTAATGTTGAATCTGGAACTGCTCGCACAAGGCGGTGATCATAGTGTTGTTAAGGTTTGTACCATTGTCAGTGATGATCCTTTCGGGGATACCGTACTGGTAAATGAGGTTCTGCTTAATGAAGCGGGTAACAACATTCTTTGTGACGGATGCGGAGGAAGCTGCTTCGACCCACTTGGTGAAGTAGTCGATGGCCACTAGAATGAAACGGTGTCCATTGGATGTTGTAGGCTTGATCTCCCTAATCATGTCGATTCCCCATATAGCGAACGGCCAAGGAGCTGTTAAGACATTGAGAGGAACTGGAGGTATATGTACCTTGTCCGTATAAATTTGACATTTGTGACAAGTCCTGGAATGTTGATAGCAGTCAGCTTTCATGGTAGACCAGTAATATCCTGCCTGTAGAATCTTCTTAGCCATTGTATGCCCGCTAGAGTGAGTGCCAAAGGTACCATTGTGCAGTTCAGCCATGATCTGTTCAGCTTCAATCTTGTCCACACAATGGAGCAGAACGCAATCCTGATTGCGCTTGTACAGGATACCATTGCTCAGGAAGAACTTGGATGAGAATCTCCTTAAGAACTTTTTGTCGTTGACTGAAGCTCCTTCAGGATATTCTTGAGCCTCGAGATACCTTTTGACTTCACGAAACCAAGGTCGGTCCACTACTTCTTGGTATTAATCTCGTGACAATGTGCAGGTCCATCCATCCGTTCAATGGTGATTTGGGGAGCCTCATTATCCCATTTAAGTTTAAACATGGATGACATTGTAGCAAGAGCATCTGCTAGCTGATTTTCTTCTCGTGGGAAGTGCTCGAAGGTAATCTGCTCGAAATGTGATAACAATGTCAAGACATGTTCTTTGTAAGGGATGAGGTTGGGATGCTTAGTGTCCCACTCTCCTTTGATCTGACTGATGACCAAATCTGAGTCTCCAAACACAACCAAAGATTTGATTCCCAGGTCTATTGTAGCCTTGAGACCAAATATACAAGCTTCATACTCGGCCATGTAGTTGGTGCAGTTAAAGCAAAGTCTAGCGGTGAAAGGTAATCTGCTCGAAATGTGATAACAATATCAAGACATGTTCTTTGTAAGGGATGAGGTTGGGATGCTTAGTGTCCCACTCTCCTTTGATCTGACTGATGACCAAAGCTGAGTCTCCAAACACAACCAAATATTTGATTCCCAGGTCTATTGCAGCCTTGAGACCAAAGATACAAGCTTCATACTCGGCCATGTTGTTGGTGCAGTTAAAGCAAAGTCTGGCGGTGAAAGGAGTATGGCAATCTTCTGGGGAGATGAGTATCGCGCCGATACCGTTTCCAAGTGCATTGGAGGCACCATCAAAGTACAGGGTCCATCGGGATCTTTGTTCAGGTCCGTCATATGGTCTGAAATCTTCAATGTTGTCCAACGTCATAATGTCTTCGTCAGGGAAGTCAAACTTCATGGATTGGTAATCTTCGACATCTTGATGAGCCAGATGATCAGCTAGCACACTCCCCTTTATAGCTTTTTAGGTCGTGTACAGTATATCGAATTCCGTTAGGATCATCTGCCACCTTGCTATTCTTCCAGACAAAGCAGGCTTCTCAAAGATGTACTTGATCGGATCCATCTTAGATACCATCAGAGTGGCATGAGTCAACATGTACTACCTTATCCGGTGAGCAGCCCATACCAAAGCGCAACAAGTTTTCTCGAGCAGTGAATATCTTATTTGACAGTCGGTAAACTTCTCGAGCAAGTTTTCTCGAGCAGTGAATAGCTGATCACGAACGGAAACCTTGAGTGAGAGAGAGAATCAAAAACAAAATTGCATTAAGTGAAATTACTTCATCACAAGGGATCTATTTATAGAATCACTCGTGTGGGATACAAGATAAAATCCCAATTAAGGCTATAAGCTAAAAGCCCAATTAAGCTTATGGACATCATACCTTATGATGTACCATATATCACTTATCCACGTGGTACCTTACCACTTTCCGTATTACACTTAAGTGCACCGTATCTTACGGTGTTCCTTATTTATTCTATCTCTCATCAACATGTCCTTATGTGTGTGACCCTGTAGGTTTTCGCGACGTTGGCAATTATATTAAATCACACATTTAATATAATAAACAGTGAGCGGTATCTAGCAACACATCACTGTTACCCAAGTTACGAAAATGTCATGTGATCTGACCAAACCTTTTCCGTGATAATATTTGTGTTGTACAATTACCCTTTTGCCCTCATGTCTATATTGAACACAAGGCATACACTGTGTCACCCTTGTCCAGTTCAATATTGGGCCCTTAGACATTTATCCTGTTATGCAGGATGAGCAAATTCCATCTAGGTCACTCATGTCCCTTAGCATGCTTTATGAAGTACCCATCAACCGTCTTTATAGTCATCCAGTTACGGATGACGTTTGATCAGCAATAAAGTACTTGACTCTACATCTAGGGTCCATAGTGGTTTCAGGTCGAAGGGTGGTATACACCATTATCATCATGAGAATAACTTATGACACTTTGCATAACATTCTATGTAGTATTCTCATAGCGGGTCAATCCAGTATAAATATTACTCCTAATATTCATACCTATGTCAAGACTTGATAACTCCTTATCTATGATCCATGAGATGTGATCATCAATCTATCTTCATAATAATCTTAATGCTTTAATGTTATCCCACTTCACATTAAAGCTTGACTACGGATACTTTAAGAATAGTGTCTTATGTTTAATGGGATCTCATGATTAAGTCACACTTAACATTTCATTAAACAACTAAACCATTCTAGGGACTTTATTATTTTGGAAAGCAAACATAATAAAGAAATGCCTTTTATTATTAATAAATAATTCGATACAAGTACCAAAAGTATTGGCCTCTAGGGCTTACACCAACAATCTCCCACTAGCACTAGAGCCAATCAGGCATACCCCTAATACCCATAGATATAGTATGTCCATCATGCTTCAGCTGCGCAAGAGGCTTTGTTAATGGGTCAGCAACATTGTCAAGTGTAGGTACTCTGCATATTTTCACATCTCCCCGATCGATTATCTCTCGAATGAGATGATAACGCATAAGTATGTGTTTGGATCGTTGGTGAGATCTAGGCTCCTTAGCTTGTGCAATAGCACCATTGTTATCACAATAGAGATCAATGAGATCCACAATGCTATGGACTATGCCAAGTTCACTAATGAACTTCTTGATCCAAACAACTTCCTTTGCTGCAGTTGAGGCAGCAATATACTCAGCCTCGGTTGTAGAATCAGCAACTGTATCTTGCTTTGAACTTTTCCAGCTCACAGTGCCACCATTTAAACAAAACACATAACCAGATTGCGATCTAAAGTCATCCTTATCTGTCTGGAAGCTAGCATCGGTGTATCCAATTACAGCAAGCTCTTCCTGACCTCCATATATAAATAATGAGTCCTTAGTTCTTCTCAAGTACTTAAGGATATTCTTGACAGCTACCCAATGAGCATCACCGGGATTAGACTGGTACCTACTTGTTGCACTTAAAGAATACGAGACATCCGGTCGAGTACATAGCATGGCATACATGATAGATCCTATTGCAGATGCATATGGAATCTTATCCATGCGATCCCTTTCTTCCTTACTTGAAGGGGATTGTGTTTTTGACAGACACATGCCATGTTGCATAGGTATGAATCCTTTCTTGGAATCATGCATATTAAAGCGTCTCAACACTTTTTCTATGTATGTACTCTGACTTAGGCCAAGAAGTTTTTGTGACTTATCTCTATAGATCCTGATTCCTAATATATAGGCTGCTTCACCTAGGTCCTTCATTGAAAAGCATTTCCCTAACCAAGTCTTCACTTGTTGCAAGGTAGGGACATCGTTTCCAATGAGTAATATGTCATCTTCATATAATACCAGGAATACGATCATGCTCCCACTAACCTTCTTGTAGACACAAGGCTCATCTTCATTCTTGATGAATCCATATTGTTTTACTGTTTCATCAAAACGAAGATTCCAGCTTCTGAAAGCTTGCTTCAATCCATAAATTGATCGCTGTAACTTATATATCTTTTGGGCTTCTTCTGGTATGTCAAATCCTTTAGGTTGTGTCATGTACACATCCTCAAGAAGATTCCCATTAAGAAAAGCAGTTTTGACATCCATCTGCCATATTTCATAATCATGATATGCAGCGATAGCAAGTAAAATCCGAACAGATTTAATCATTGCAACTGGTGAAAAGGTTTCATCATAGTCAACCCCATGAATTTGTTTATAGCCTTTTGCAACCAGTCTTGCCTTATAGGTATGTACCTTACCATCCATGTCAGTCTTCTTTTTGAAGACCCACTTGCATCCTATAGGGTTAACTCCTATAGGAGGCTCTACCAAGGTCCAAACCTGGTTTGTGTACACGGAATCCATTTCAGACTTCATGGCTTC